GTTGAAGTAGGGACATCTGAGCCCAGGGCAGCAAAAGAATTAGATACAGGAGTGACTATGGAACTGGCAACTGCAGAGGAGGCTGCAGAAGATGGGGCCCCAGAAGTGGGGGGAAGTTTTGAAACATGAGAATAAGAAACACAGGGTAGTCTCCCTTGGAGGCAGAGATGAGAAACTGCCATAGCATAAGGGAGACCTTCTGCCTCTTTGAGGCAATGAGCTGTATAGCCCTTGTGGCTTAGCGCTTCTTTTTGATTATAATAATAATAATAATTTGAGGCAATGAATTTTCCACTCATTTAAGTAGACCTGGCAACGGCAAGAGTACGAAGGGCGAGCCTCATGACAATTAAGGCAAGAGGGAGGTCGACTGCAAGATGTATTAGAATGGTCATCGGCACCACAGACTGGGCATTCGGCTATAGAGCTGCAATATTTTGCTGGGTGGCCAAATCGCCAGCAATTCCTACACTGTTGCAGTGTAGGGATCACCTTCCGAACTTGTAACCGATGTCCTGCTACATAAACAGAGGATGGGAGTTCACGGCTGTCAAAAGTTAAACGAGCCACATCGCAAGGGTGTTGTCTTCGCCAGCAGGCGGGAAGAACATAAGTGTCTACCTTGAAAATTGGGAGATCTTGAGTTCCAGCTGTTCAAGAATGTCATTGCCACATGTCTGAAAATTCTGTTGGACTATGGTATGGGGCAGAATAACAGTACCACTACAAGAATTGAGGGAATGATGTTTTTCGATAGTGATAGAATAGTATCGATATGTGAAAGAAGAGAAGGATCATGAGCTTGGGTAGAATTCTGGACTGTGATGATGCGCATACCACTCTTAAGAGCATGAAAGGAAATATCTCTACCAACGTGGCATAGGAGCGCTTTGCCAATACTATGGTCAGAAAGATAGGCAGTAGAAGAAGTCGGTCATAAAGTAAAGAATTTAGTCCATTGTGTGGTCCGAAACTAAGTGTGGAGAGGGAGTGCATGACGTGTCAGTCTTTTCCGAGTAGAATGGGAAGGTAACGAAGTAACATCGTCAGGAGATTGTCGTTGGCGTTTAGAGGTGGGACCAGAGTCGGTCCGACGCGAGACGGGCTGGCACTTCGAAAATTGTCGCACCATAGAGGGAGAGGCCAGAAGCATAGTCAAAGGAGAGCAGAGGTCAGACAAATCGAAGGAGTCAGTGGAAGCCCCGGTACTTGAAGCGGGTGAGGAAACAGCACCAGCAAGAGGTACAGAGGCCTTAGGAGTGTCCAAAGAGTGGCCAAAAGACGAGGCGAGGTCAGAACAGGGTGCGGTAACAATAAGGGGCCCAGGGGTAGTGGGGTCATGGATTTGGGACTCCATGGTTAGGTTACTTTTTTTTTTTTTTCCTTAAAAACAAAAAGAAAGAAAAAAGAAAAATAAAAAAAAAAAGAAAAAAAGGAGGACTGGGGAGGGATAGTTCCTAGGAGAAATGAAAGGGCCAGAAATCTCCCTCCGCTCCCAAGAGGACCTCAGCACCGCAAGTAGCGTAGATGCAGCATGGAACCCGTGCCATACCCTACCCTTCATGCCAGTAAACCAGCAATCCGGTATAGCAACCTCACATCTGCCGAGCTACCTCGGTGGACAAAAGAGAGGGCTGCCGGATATCTGCCACAAAGCATACCTCCTTCGGCCACCACCCCCGGAATCCGAAAGGTGGCTTCCAGAGATACACCAGACACCCAAAGCCACCCTCTGGGATACCGAAGAGGGATCGGGACATCCCCAGGCGATCCAGATCCCACGGCAAACTACACCACCGCCAAGAACCTCTAAAGGAATGGGATGGACCCCGGTACCGTTCCCCCTACCTATGAACTAGTGTGCCTGTGGGAAAAATCCCAAAGGCCAAAAAGAGGAAGGGCAAAAGGGAGGGGTGGGGAGGAGGAGGAGGAAAGGAAAAAGGGGAGGATGGGATAGGGAAAGGGGGGATTGGGGGGTGATTAGGTTCGGTCTGAGGAAGGACAGACAGGTCTAATTCCTCAGACCAAGAGCCTCTTCACCACGCCAAGGAGCCCCCCTTGAAGAGGCTAAACCCACAGGATTATACAGCACCTGTGGAGATGCAGAAGGTATTTGGGCTTAATTCAGGGAACTGGAGCACAGATCAAATTCCCTAGATCAAGAGCCCCTCACCAGTGTCAATGAACCTTCCCTGAGGGGTGAGGGCAAGAGTAAAACATATCAAAGTTGGTGCCATAAAAATCATAAGAGCTAAACCCAAAATGGTCAGTTGGTGCAACAAGTTAGATTTTGTTCAAAAGTCTGGATCAAAGGTGGAATTTCAACACAGCAAAATCAAAGAGCTGCCTTTGAAAGGTATTTGTAAGTGTCAAGGTTATTTTCCTTGCATTCATCCACAGTGAACTGCCTGACATTTCTCAACTAGATCATTATGTGACAGCACTGAACCTGCATGAACTATACATCACTTGATGTACAGTCCACTTCAAAGTTTTTTGGCAAAAATTTGTGCCTGCATTCTTTCTCTATTTATTTCCCATTACATGTGCATTTTGATCAAGGGAAGCAGTACACTCACAAGAGCACTAAACACTAATGGGTCATACAGCAATATCCAGACGTGTGTGCAACACCTGAGTATCTATTTTTAAGAAATAGATACTCTGATCAAGTGTTTACATTGAAGCATATATGTAATCAATATTTAGATAAAGGTAGGGAAGTTTTTATTGCATTTATGGATTTAGAAAAGGCATATGATAGAGTGGATAGAGGAGCAATGTGGCAGATGTTGCAAGTACGTATATGGAATAGGCAGTAAGTTACTAATGCTGTAAAGTTTTTATGAGGATAATGAGGCTCAGGTTAGGGTGTGTAGAAGAGAGGGAGACTACTTCCCAGTAAAAGTAGGTCTTAGACAGGGATGTGTAATGTCACCATGGTTGTTTAATATATTTATAGATGGGGTTGTAAAAGAAGTAAATGCTAGGGTGTTCAGGAGAGGGGTGGGATTAAATTATGGGGAATTAAATACAAAATGGGAATTGAGAGTTGTTTTTTGCTGATGATACTGTGCTTATGGGAGACTCTAAAGAAAAATTGCAAAGGTTAGTGGATGAGTTTGGGAGTGTGTGTAAAGGTATAAAGTTGAAAGTGAACATAGAAAAGAGTAAGGTGATGAGGGTATCAAATGATTTAGATAAAGAAAAATTGGATATTAAATTGGGGAGGAGGAGTATGGAAGAAGTAAATGTTTTCAGATACTTGGGAGTTGACGTGTCAGCGGATGGATTTATGAAGGATGAGGTTAATCATAGAATTGATGAGGGAAAAAAGGGGAGTGGTGCGTTGAGGTATATGTGGAGACAAAAAACATTATCTATGGAGGCAAAGAAAGGAATGTAAGTATAGTAGTACCAACACTCTTATATGGGTGTGAAGCTTGGGTTGTGAATGCAACAGTGAGAAGGCAGTTGGAGGCAGTGGAGATGTCCTGTCTAAGGGCAATGTGTGGTGTAAATATTATGCAGAAAATTTCGGAGTGTGGAAATTAGAAGGTGTGGAGTTAATAAAAGTATTAGTCAGAGGGCTGAAGAGGGGTTGTTGAGGTGGTTTTGTCATTTCGAGAGAATGGATCAAAGTAGAATGACATGGAGAGCATATAAATCTGTAGGGGAAGGAAGGCGGGGTAGGGGTCGTCCTCGAAAAGGTTGGAAGGAAGCGGTAAGGGAGGTTTTGTGGGCGAGGAGCTTGGACTTCCAGCAGGCCTGCATGAGCGTGTTCGATAGGAATGAATGGAGACGAATCTTATTTGGAACCTGACGATCTGTTGGAGAGTGAGCAGGGTAATATTTAGTGAAGGGATTCAGGGAAACCGGTTATTTTTGTATAGCTGGACCCGAGTCCTGGAAATGGGAAGTACAGTGCCGCTACTGTAAAGGAATTTGTAGGATTATTAAGGCGTTTGTAGTGTATATGTTTGGGTGAAATGGACTAATACTCAATATGCCTTATAAACTGTCGTTTCTGGCACCTGAACATACTAGTGAGTATATGTTGAGGTGTAAGTGTGATTAAAGGATGGAATAGCATTTTGAGTATTTGGGTATTTTACTTCTTTTTGGTCTACACCTCTCAAAATGTGAGTATGTGCGATGTTAAAGTAATGATGAAGAAGATTCTTTGGTTTTGGCACATGTGTAGGGTTTATAAAGATCTCCTTGTTGAACGAACTATATTTATTTAATAATACTATACTATACATACTAAACGAAGCCTTTCTAGTGAGGTATAGTTCTATTTTCATTACAGCTTTCATATATTCAAAGTGGCTAAATCCAAAGCAGTCATACAACACCTGGATAATGAAATAGTATTAAACACACTTGGGTCATACAGCACCTGGTAATTGGGAGGCAGTCAGGATTGATCCAAGGAAGAGGCAGACATGTGTAATTTCTTATATCATGAGACCCTGCCCATGAAGGATACAGCACCCATTATTATTATTACAATCAAAACTAAGCTCTAAATCCTTAAGGGTCATACAGTGCTGCAGGGTAGGATGTGTTAAAGATGTAATAAGCCATATCAGAGACCAGCGAGGGTAAACAGGATGCTGGAGGCAGTCAGTAAGGGTGGTGAGGAGTGCTAAAGAGAGAGAGTAATTAAAGTCTGTGCAGTAAAGCTGTTGTTGACAAAAGGTCAGAGGGAGGTAAAGCCACAAGTCATACATTATGATTACATTCTTATGGACATTAATACTGTAAGAGATCATGCAGTGCCTACAATAGGTAATGTAAGGCAATTACATTTAAACCAAGGGAAGGATAGCCCCATTTCCTTGGATCATGAGCTCTTCATTGGCATCAAGCCATTTTAGTGAAGTCCCAAACAGAGCAGCCTAAGGCAATATAAATTCAAATACAAGACATACACATGTTGATACCTTAACGCTGCTAAGAGCACATCAATAATATGGTTAAATTAACGAGCTGGATAAAATGGATTATCTCTTTTAATGAAATTATGTGACAAGTTTCACTATATACAGGTTTGTGGGTATGGTGATATTTCTGCCAGTCAGTTCAACACAATAAATTACATTCACTATCCTAAGGGCACTAAGTGAGTGTAGGACAAATGAGATTTCAGTGATTGTGTTTGTCTCTAACATGATTTTATGATTAATGAAAACTCTTGTTGTATAATGAAAGTACCAAAAACATGCAAATGCACTTGACTTACACTCACGAGGTGCATCATATTTCATTATCTTTACTAAGGAGAAAACAATGACCAAGGATGACAAAGTTCTGATATTTTAACTTCATCCCTTCCAAATAAACATTTCCAGTTACAATCCTTCCTATTACATATTGAACATTCTGAAGAACATGGAGAACTCACACATATTGGAGGAATGCTCACCTAGGTTGAAGAGAAAATATCCTATTTCAGTCCAAGGTCACTGCTCTTAATACCAGTCTTTGTAGAAGTGCAGGTAAAAGTTCATTTTACAAGATATTCTACCTACTTTTAATCAAATAGATACCAGCAGAATTTAAAAAAAAAAATAAATTAAGTGATGATGTACTAACAAAGCTTGTTACTGCAATACTGGTTACCATAAGTTCAATATATATCTATTATCCACATTTCTGTATTTGACACCTTGTTCCCTCCTGATGTAGCCACCATGTAGAACTTTCAGTAAATATTTTTGTGGGGATTCATCAAGCCTGTAGGGGTCCATACAGTGCTTGGGAAATATGAAGTAATAAAGTTCAATCCAGGAAAGGAAAGGGTAGCTCCAATTCCCTGGGTCAAGAGCCTCTTATCAGCATCAAGGCACTCTCCTCAGAGGGAGATCTTCCAGGAACATCTCGCTGTCTCTCTACATCAGCGAGATAAAATATCTCCAAAACCTAGAAAAATTCTACTTGGCTTTGCTATCATCTAAGCAGCAGAAACAAATTTAATAATACTAGATGAACTCATTATCCAGCATCACAGTAACTTTCAAACACATCTTCAACACAAAAGACATTTAGGTTATATGCTCTAAGAATTAAACAAAAAAAATCAAACAAATACAAAATGACAATAGCAAAATGAGATTTTGAGAATGATGAAATAAGAAATGAAGATTTACAGGTACATTCAAATGGGTACATAAAAAAAAAGGATGTGGGGCAGTCCATAATGATCCTAGAGAAGTCGTACAGATGTTTTATGATAAAACTGTGAATGTCAAAGCAACTATAAAACCCATTACATTTTGCAAATTAATGATGGAGCAATTAACAATGAAGAGAATTTTCATCTGGGAAATGTGAATTACAGAAATTAATAAATTATATACAATATCTAATAGTAATTTTCTATACAGCTAATGGACATAGTAATTACCTTAACTCAATCCAGATGCAAAACGACTAACAGTATGAAAAGCATATTACCAGTTAAAAAAAAATTTATAACTAGTTCCAGTCATGAGATCAAATAAGTTCCACAAATCATTTAACAGTCTTTGTCAAAGTTCTAAAATACTTTTCTCTCATAAGCATTTCCTGAAGTGTAAAACTCGTCAATCTATAATTTTATTAACTACAAAGCTTATTTTCACACAATTCTAAACACAAACTAAATAAGCTAGATTAGGTCTTATGTTTTAAATTTCATTCTCTTCAATTCCACCAGTGCTTTACTGTTATCATTAATATTCTAACAACAATACATATTGCCATCATATATTTTTATTTGCATGTTTAAAATGTCACAAATGTGAAAGATCTGGTTTTGCAAAAACAAAACCTATGCACTGAGGTAGCATGCAATTCGGCTATTATGAATAACCCACCAAAATTATTTTATCTGTTGAGAAACAGAAGAAAATTTACAGCAAATTCTATAGATTTATCTTAAGTGTTTTTCTAGCTTATTCATATAATACTAGAAAATAGCATACTTAAACTGAAGACCTAACCTGAAAAAAATACACTACTCCCTTACATTGGACATTCACAGTTATTTATTCTATACATTTACCTACCTCAAACAATATCTAAGTCTAATATCCATTTGTACGGTTTTGATTGGAAGGTGAAATCTTCTATCTGGACACTGCTTGTGAGTCTGGGCTATGTGAAAACCGCTGTAATGCTGCCTTAGAAGTATCACTGGGTGACATATGGGACAGGGATTGCATGAACGGGAGCTGTGCAGAGGTTTGGTGAGATGAGTGTGGCGGTGTCTGAAGATGCATGTGCATGGGAGCTGGCATATGAGGCAGGTGAATGGTGGGATGTAACTGTGAATGCATGGTTGCGAGTGTGTGCGCAGGCATTGGGGTCAGTAGCTGAGGATGTACAGGTGGCAATGAAGGGGTGTGCATTGAGGATAGCATGTGAGAATGCATGTGAGACAGAGACTGGGGAATAATGGGGTTCAGTGGTGGCCCATGCATAGATGGTGGTTGCATTTGTAGAGGCACAGTAAAAGGTACTGACTGCATTGGTGATGAGACTTGTGCCTCTGAAATTGAATGTACTGGGGTTTGCAACATTGGCTGTGCTTGTGTGTGCTCAGGTGTTGGCTCTTGAGCTGCCATGACTGAATGCATGGGAATTGATGCCTGAGGATGAATAGGATGTTCTGATGCTTGGTGGTGAATAGGTTCTGATGCCTGGGGGTGAATAGGATGTTCTGAGGCCTGGGGATGAATAGGATGTTCTGAGGCCTGGGAATGAATAGGATGTTCTGAGGCCTGGGAGTGAATAGGATGTTCTGAGGCTTGGGGATGAATAGGATGTTCTGAGGCTTGGGGGTGAATAGGATGTTCTGAGGCTTGGGGGTGAATAGGATGTTCTGAGGCTTGGGGGTGAATAGGATGTTCTGAGGCTTGGGGGTGAATAGGATGTTCTGAGGCCTGGGGGTGAATAGGTGGTTCTGATGCCTGAGTGTGAACAGGGTCTGATGCTAGCGTGTGAATAGGGGTTGCTGGTAGTGTGTGAATAGGCTCTGATGGCTGGGTATAACTAGGTTCTGATGCTTGGGTGTAAGTAGGTAAGCCTGATGCCTCAGTATGCATGGATGATGACTGGGTCTGAAAAGGTAATGGTGCCTGAACATGATGAGGTGCTAACTCAAGGTTTTGTTGGGGCGATCGTGCTTGAGTCTGCAAGGCTACTGGCATCTGCAATTCTTTAGGTTCAGGTGAAGGTGCTCTGTTGTGTACCTGAGGTATTAAATGTTCATCTTTTGAATTCAACATATCTGCTTCCTTCACTTCAGACATTTGCTCCTCCTCTGGTTTCAAAACATGTTCCATATCTGTCACCATCTTTTCTACTGGTGGTTTGTTTTCTTCACAGTTTGTAGACTCTTGTTGCATAGATTGTCCTTGTCCTTCCAACTGTTGAGAAGCTGTATTCTCAAGAGTGCTTAAAATCTGTTCCTTCACTGGTTTTTGTAAGTATTCATCCTCAGTATATTTTAAAGTCTCCTTCTCTTCAGGTTTCAGATCCTGTTGATGTTCCGATTTTGGAGCCTGCAATTCATTTGGTTTTAAAACGTGCTCCTCTTCTGATTTTAAAGATTCATTTAGGGATGGTAGTGCAATGTCATTTGAAGTTGAGGCTGTTTCATGATCAAGACTTTGTGATTGTGGATGGATGGAAGTCTGAGACTGTTGCTGGACTGGAGATTGTAACTGCATTTGTCGTGATACATTCTCTGACATCTCAAATACTCCTTCAGGTGGTTTTACAGGAGTTTGGGAAGTAGGCTGTTTCATGCTTTTCTCAGCCTCCGACACTGATGCAAGCAATCCAAGTACGTCAGGGGTGCATACAATTTCTCCCGGATTTGTAGATTTATTCTGTTGCAGCTGCATCTTTTTTGGATCCAGCACTACTTTTCCAATATTGGCAGGGAACTGTTTTGGAATTCCAGGACTTGTGAATCCAGAGGATTTCTGGGCACCTCCCTGCGCAGGGAAATTTGGAATGTTAGGTCTCATAAGCATATTTGGATGAATTTTCTGTACTGGAGTTCTCTGCCCAGGAACTTTCGACTTAGGTGGTCGACCTCTCGGATTGACATGGGGTCTATATTGCACAACAACAGATGATGACGCAGGTAAAAATTTCCTCGCAATCGCCTCCGGGGCAGATGGTGCCTTCATTCGAAACGTGCCAGAGGTTCCAGGGATACCAGGTTGTAGTGCACGATTCTGAACACTAATCTCACGTTTTACTGGAGGCATAGGCCTCTGATTTACAATCTTTTGAGGTGAATTTCCATTATTTGAACTAACGGGTCTTGTGATAGTTGTTCCTGCTAAACGTAATTTCTCATATAGGTCTTCTGGAGACTCTGGATAGTGCGTTAACTGGAATCTATGATTGTTCATAATTGTGTATGCTCCAGTTGCATTTTTTACATATTTACCATAATTATATCTTTGAGGTTTCATCATATTTGTTCTTTGCATTTTGGGCCTGTTGACTCTAGGTCTTGCATTACCAACCCTAATGGGGGCTCTTGGCTTCACATCCATCAACCCCTCAATATCAGTCATAGCTTGATTTAACGCATGTTGAAGACCACTCTCTTTGTCTCTATTACCAGCATTCTCCTCACTTTTAATTGTAAGGCCATCTTGTTCAGCCATGGCTGAGGGAATGCCACCCTTTTCACCGTCCAGTTTTTTATTCTTCTTTGTACACAATCCAGAAATATTAGAATAACTGCGTTTTCCTGGAATATATTCTGGCTCTGCTGTTGCAGAATCTGAAAAGAAAGTGAATCTATGTCAAAAGAACTATATACAATACATTACAGACCTTATAGTAATACAAATAAGCTTTTACTGAATTAGCAATGTTTAAGTATAATGCAGACCCAACTTCAATTACAAACTCCTGTCAAACTGTAAAAAACAACAGAATTAACATCAACATACTGATACATTAACACTTTCAGGGTGGTTCCCATTGTACTACAACTTTGAAGCACAGGTCGGTCCCATTTTTCTACGTGATGAGCTCAGCTCTCTCGGATAAGCTGTGAACAGTAAATATGGGCCTAGATACGAGAGAATTGGTCTATGAGGTAAGACTTCTTTCAACAAACTGGTTATATCCCACCAAGGCAGGGTGGCCCAAAAGGTAAAAACGATAAGTTTCTCCTAAATTTAGTAACAAACAGGAGAAGGGGATACTAGCACCTTGCTCCCGGCATTTCAGTTGCCTCTTACGACATGTATGACTTACAAAGGAAGAATTCTGTTTCACTTCCCCATGGAGATAAGTGGAAATAAACAAGAACTAGCAAGAAAACAGAAGAAAACCCAGAGGGGTATGTATATATATGCTTGTACAAGCATGTGTAGTGTGACCTAAGTATGTAGCAAGATGTATATGAAATCCTGCACGTTTACGAGACAGAAAAAAAGATACTAGCAATCCTATCATGTAAAACAATTACAGGCTTCCGTTTCATACTTACTTGGCAGGACAGTAGTACCTCTCATGGCGCTTGCTGTCTACCAACCTACTACCTAGGTATGAGGCAAGTGTGCATCATACAAGAAATCCTGCAACATGTGCATAATGAGGGAAAAAAAAATGACCATGTTTTTGGTTGAAAACAGCAACTTTTGCACTGTACAGTGGTCCCTCAATAATCGTCCGGCCTGAAAGTCGTCCATTTCGGAAATAGTCCTGTTTTTTCATCTAAATATTGGCTCGCAAATGGTCCGGTAACTCGCTAATAGTCCTTCGTCCCGGACGCGTACTCATGCTCTGAGCCGCCTCGGCCTTTCCTTCCCAGCCAGTGTGCCATTGTTTACCAGTGAGTGACTGTCCCCTCACGTGCTCCAGCGAAATATTTCATAATATTCCATTATTTTAGTGCTTGCAAGTTATTTAAGTGCTAAATAAGCTACCATGGCTCCAAAGAAAGCCCCTAGTGCCAAGCCTTTGGTAAAGAAGGTGAGAAATACGATTGAATTTAAGAAAAACATCATTGAACAATATGATAGTGGCGTACATGTGGGCAAACTGGCCAGGATGTATAACAAATCCTGTACAACCATATCTTCCATCATAGCCAAGAAAAAGGAAATCAAGGATGCTGTTGTTGCAAAGGGGGGTAAATATGCTGACAAAAATGAGATCACCAGTACTCGAAGATGTTGAGAAGTTATTATTGGTGTGGATAAATGAGAAACAATTAGCAGGAGATAGTCTTATGACGTCGCTTATTTGTGAAAAGGCTAGGCAGTTGCATGACTATTTCGTAAAGAAATTGCCTGCAACTAGTGGTGATGTGAGTGAATTTAAGGCCAGCAAAGGCTGGTTTGAGAGATTTAAGAAGCGTACTGGCATACACAGTGTGGTAAGGCATGGTGAGGCTGCCAGTTCGGACCACAAGGCAGCTGAAAAATATGTGCATAAATTCAAGGAGTACATAAACAGTGAAGGACTGAAACCTGAACAAGTGTTCAATTGTGATGAAACAGGCCTCTTTTGGAAGAAAATGCCAAAGAGGACCTACATTGCTCAGGAAGAAAAGGCGCTGCCAGGACACAAGCCTATGAAAGACAGGCTGATGCTAATGTTCTGTGCTAATGCTAGTGGGGATTTCAAAGTGAAGCCATTACTAGTGTACCATTCTGAAAATCCCAGTGTGTTCAAGAAAAACATGTTATGAAGAGTAAATTGTGTGTGTGTTTTGGAGCTCTAATAGTAAGGCATGGGTCACAAGGGACATTTTCGTCAAGTGGTTCAATCAAGTGTTTGGCCCTAGTGTGAAGAATTACCTCTTGGAAAAGAAATTGGATCTCAAGTGCCTCCTAGTAATGGACAATGCACCTGCTCATCCCCAAACTTGGATGACCTAATTCTGAAGGAGTTTGGGTTCATCACAGTAAAGTTCTTGCCCCCGAATACCACTCTTCTCCTCCAGCCCATGGACCAGCAGGTCATTGCAAACTTTAAAAAACTCTACACCAAAGCAATGTTTGAAAGGTGCTTGAATGTGACCTCAGACACTCACTTGACCCTACGAGATTTTTGGAAAGAACACTTCAGTATTCTCCATTGCGTAAGCCTTATAGGTAAGGCTTAGGAGGGAGTGACTACCAGGACTTTGAACTCTGCTTGGAGAATATTGTGGCCAGATTGTGTCCACAAGAGGGATTTTGAAGGGTTTGGGGCTGACCCTGATGAACCTATGTCAGTTGTTAAATACATTGTGGAACTGGGGAGTTCCATGGGGTTGGATGCGAGTTTGGAGGATGTGGAAGAGTTGGTGGAGGACCACAACGAAGAGCTAACCACTGAGAAGCTGCAAGAGCTTCAGCAGGAAGAGCAACAGATCGCAGCTCAGAATCTTGCTGCAGAGGAGGAGGAAGAGAGATGGAGGAAGGTGCCTTCTTCAGAAATTAAGGAGATTTTTGAAATGTATCAGTCTGTAGTGGAAGGAAGGCGGGGTAGGGGTCGGCCTAGGAAAGGTTGGAGGGAGGGGGGTAAAGGAGGTTTTGTGTGCGAGGGGCTTGGACTTCCAGCAGGCATGCGTGAGCGTGTTTGATAGGAGTGAATGGAGACAAATGGTTTTTAATATTTGACGTGCTGTTGGAGTGTGAGCAAAGTAACATTTATGAAGGGGTTCAGGGAAACCAGCAGGCCGGACTTGAGTCCTGGAGATGGGAAGTACAGTGCCTGCACTCTGAAGGAGGGGTGTTAATGTTGCAGTTTAAAAAATAGTGTAAAGCACCCTTCTGGCAAGACAGTGATGGAGTGAATGATGGTGAAAGTTTTTCTTTTTTGGGCCACCCTGCCTTGGTGGGAATCGGCCAGTGTGATAATAATTAAATAATAATTTTGAAATGTGGGGTAGAATGGATAGATTTATGGAGAAACATCACCCAGAGAAGGATGTTGCAAGCCATATCAGCAACTTGTACAGTGACAGTCTTGGCCCATTTTAGGGAAGTTTTAAAGAGACGCCAGAAACAGAGCTCTCTGGACAGTTTTTTTGCGAGACAGGACTCCAGTGACTCTCAAGGTGGTCCTAGTGGCATTAAGAAATAGAGAAGAGAAGTAACCCCAGAAAAGCAATTGATACCCGAGGTGTTGATGGAAGGGGATTCCCCTTCCAAACAGTAAATCATCCAATCTGTCTCCTTCTCCAGTCTTCCATACACAAAGAAGAATCGCCAATAAAGGTAAGTGTTATTCTGTTAATGTTTAATTCATTATGTGCCACTGTATTGTTTATGTACTACATCTATATTTCATATAAAAAAATGTTTTGTTTTAATACTTCTGGGTGTCAGGAACGGATTAATTGAATTTACATTATTTCTTATGGGGAAAATGGATTCGTAAATCGTCCATTTCGATAATAGTCCCACTTCCAGGAACGGATTATGGACGATAACTGAGGGACCACTGTATTTTTGTATTATTTTTATGGTTTTATTTTTGATTTCTTAGTCTTATTTGATAGAATGGAAGATATAATACAGAAACTGAGATGATTCTGATTAGTTTCAGGACTAAAAGCAATTTGAAATTGAGCTCAAAGTAACAGAAATGATTGATTTTTGCCGCTATTTCAGGTTACGTCACTCATCAAATACATGTCCAACTGGTCGGTCTAATAAGTATTCAGAAATGTGCTGACATTATTTATACAATTATTACAATAATGCAGTATACTGCTTAACAGTAGAGCTTTTATTTTTGGTTTCAATAAAAATTTAGAATAGAAAGCAAGCATAATATAGGAGAGGCCTGAGGACATGACTAATGAACAAAAGAAATGTTTTAGTGCCAGGAATGTCTACACTGTTTATTCTGGACCCTATTTTTAATTGGCAATTTTTGAATTGTGTGAAATTGGCCAAATTACCAATTTCTGATCACTTTATTGGATAGTTGATATAGGTAAGTGGACAGTTACTTGTACTCAATTGACAGAACAGAAGGAATACTAGCAAAATAGCTACAAATTGAAAGACTGAAACGATGGAACTGACCGAAAATATGCTCAAAGTGGGCGAAATTGCCAATGCATAAATATTGCCAAGACTTAACTTTGGAAGAACATAATTCCATGAGATTCTCATCAAAGTTTGTACTTTTGGTTTCATTACCTTCAGAAAAAGATTCTCTATCATTTCATATTTTTCTTTTTTTTTTTTTAATATTCTCCAACCCTGAGAGCAAGTTTCAGATCAGGGGTTCCGACCCTGAAAGGGTTAATAAGACAGTCACAATACTCTGTAGGATTAGAATACTCACCTAAAAAATCATTTACATTATATGCAAAATGCTTAGGAAATAAGACAGGGTACACAAGAACAGGATCTATATCACGTTAATGAAATAAGAGCAAGAGAACACAATTGACAATTATACAAAGAAAACATTTCTCTAACAAATGGGTAAAGAAGTGGAACTAACAGAACAAAGACAAGTGTAAGCAGGTTCCATACACTATAACAGACAAAAATAAATATGATGGGGACTTCACATCATTTGGAACCAAGAGCTAGAGTTAACTGCCAGCCAACTTAAATAGGTGCATCACAAAATAATTAACCCTTTCAGGGTCGGTGCCGTACATGTACGGCTTGAGAGCCAGGGTCAGTGCCGTACATGTACGGCTTGAGAGCAAGGGTCGGTGCCGTACTTATACAGCAAAATTCTAGTGCCTTCAAACCGAGCGGAAGAAAGCTGGTAGGCCTACATATGAAAGAATGGGTCTGCATGATCAGTGTG